CAATACAATTGGTAATGATTTCAAAAAAAATATTTATGGTAAGACGGAATGCTTGAATTATGATAATATTATGTTCCGAATTTAAAATTGATAAATCATATATCAAGCAATCCCGTTCTAGTTTTATATTAATGTTTTTATTACTGTAAGTCTTATCCTGTATCCAAATATTTTAAATATTAACTAGTTGTAAGTGCGTTTTGCTTTGTGGGAAGTTTAATGAACATCCCTATTAGAGTAAATAATCGATTTAAACAATAATAATTTGTTAACTTTACGTAGGGTAAGTTATTGTAATCGTCCAAAAGTTGAAAATAAAAATTTTTGCATATCTTCACGTTTTGAAGGTTTCTGAACATTTTGGCATACCTTAGAAAAAATTGATGTGTGTGTGTGTGTATGTATGGATACAATTTTTTGTTTTTGTGCGCACGGTTTCACCGATTTCAATGGTACAAAAAACATTCGATTCCTATTGATAGAGAGAAGCGCTGATTAGTTTTTAGCAAAGGTAGGTCTAGCCGTTTCGGAGACACGGAGCAAAGAGTGCAGAAAATAGCAATCGAGTTTTTAAGGGGGGCGATACGTGTAATCGCCTTAATTTTTACCATTTTTTGAGGACTTTTTAAACTGGGAAGGAATGATTGAATCCTTTTGAACTTTTTTAGGGTTATTTATTATATATTAGAATACACAAAAAATTTTTTTTTTCAATTGTTTTTTTTTAAATGGCTGCCGTAAAAATAAATCTGCCAAGACCCTCTCGGAAAACGCCATCAATTTGCGGGCGTTCTCACTTTTCGTACGGTGATCTGAATTTAAAAAAATTAGTTTGTACGTGTTCATAAAACATATATCTTCTAGTTAAACCAAAAAAAATTTAAAAAAGTCACAAAATCGTAAATTGTCACACCTTAGAAAAAAAGTTCGATTTTTCACCTGTTTTTCAATGGTTTTTTTTGGTAAAAGGGTTAATTTTTGAAATTTTTTTTGGAATGTTTGAGGTTTAACTAGAAGCTATTACTGTAAAGTAGATGTGTGCAAAATTTCATTGGAATCGGTTGAGAACTTTTTGAGTTATCCCGCCCGCAAATTTCAAAAATGTCGTTTTGAGAAAAACGCGTTTAAAGTTTTGACACAGAAACAGATAAGAGTACAATAGCACTCAAGCGTCGAGTTGAGGCGTGGCACTTAAATGAGTTTTTATTGTATAAATAATGATAATTTTGTTTTGAATATTTACAGGCATATTTTTGAGATGTTATCGTAACGATTTATGAAAAAAAATCGATTTTTTTTTTCTTGTTACATGTATCGCCCCCCTTAAGAGAACGAAGCATTCGATTTAACTGATCTGTAAAACATTCAATTCGTAATGATAGGGAAAGTGGTGATTAATTTTAGGCAAACGCAGGTCCAGCCGTTTCGGAGATACGAAGCTAAATGTGCAAAAAATGGCAGTTTTTGAGAGAAATAAGCTTCCGATTTGAATTATTCAAATCAGAATTGCTTGTGTTGACAAAACTATTGTTTTTGGGGAAAAAAATGTATTTCAAAAAATTGTTTAATTATTTTTTTTGAATATCGGAAAATTACAGTTTTTGGCAAAGGCAGGTCTAGCCGTTACGAAGATATGGGGAAAAAGTGCCAAAAACGGTAACTCAGTTTTCAAGAGGACGGAGCGTCCGATTTGTATAATTCAAAAAAACATTTTACTTGTATTAATAAGATGAAGAACTGATCAAATTTTCAAGATGGCAGGTCTAGCGGTTTCGGAGATCTAGTAAAAAAAAAGTAAAAAAAAAATGCCATTTGGCGGTCAAAAATGATCATTAGACATATGCACATCAAATTATCAGATATTTTATAGAGATTTTAACAATAAGTATAAATTTTGTTTACATTCCTATGGGTAGCGTACCAATGTTTATCCGTTAGACGGCAACGCGGCGCTTACGCGCTTCGATATTTCGTCTCTATGCAGTTAAAGCAGTACGATTGTTTTGAAAAAAGTTCAGAATTTCCAAAATATTTCAAAATGAATTTTTCTTCAAAACTCCTTTTTTTTTCAAAAAATGTAAATTTTTGTTAAAAATTTATAGTTTCTCAAAAATCTAACTTTTTCAGAGTAATTTTTTTCAAAAATGTTAATCTTTTTTTAAAAAAAATATTTTAGGTACAGGAAGTTCCAGCAATTTGCCTCAAAGCACGGATGCCATACCCGTCTACCCGTCTACCCGTCTACCCGTCTACCTATTTACCAGTATTTCTATTTGTATATAAATCAACAATCATAACTTGTAAAGATAATATTTGGCCAACAAATGTCATTTTTTTTTAAATCTACATCTGCAGAACCGCTGGACCTCCCTTCCCTAAAATGTAATCAATTCCATCGGCACAAGTAAAATATTTTTTGAATAATTTAAACCCGATGCTCTGTTTTCTCCAAAACGGTCATTTTCTTTTTAACTTTTTGTTCTGTATTTCCAAAACTTGCCTAGGTCATAAACTAACTCGCACCTCCATATCAACACAAATCGAATGTTTTTTGAATCATTCAAATCTGTTGATCCGTGCTTCCGAAAACGTCGACGAAACTTGTATCCACACCACATAGGTAAACATATGTATACAAACACATACACGTACATCCATTTATTCTAAGGTAGGTATGCAAAAATGTTCAGAAATCTCTCAAACGTACAGATCTATAAATATTTTTATTTTCGATTTTTTACGTTTACTAGAACTACCTTACGAGAAGTTAAAAAAATAAATTTAATATTAACTTATTGGCCTTTTATTATTAGTGTTTCTACAGATTTCAATAGACTATAAATAATTATTAGATACAAAAATTTGAAATAAATCCTGTAATAGATCAACGTGCGTGATATGCGAATTCAGTTTCTATGTAAAAGATCAAACTCTTATATCATCAGAGTATATAAGTATATTATCTGCAACCCGATTTACGTAACATTTTCAATGACGATGCAATGATTTCCGCGAATGATGCCTTCCTATATACTATTGCATCACATATATTTCACTAATGAAGATCACAAGATCCGCGTACAATGAGCAAAATTAGACTCGGATTACGCGGCCGTAAATGTGCGAATTTCGAAGTGTATCTATTTTTAACACCGGAATACTAAAATAGATTTTTTTATTAATCGTATGATCGTAGACGTAAAATACTATTTTTTATTTTATTTTTATTTGAAAAATAGATTTTTCAGAATTTTTTTTTCATTTTTTAGAATGTTTAAAAAATTTGATAAGTTTGAAATTTTTGACCTGTATAAAAATCAATGGGTCAAACAATGCGTTGCCTTCTAGAAACACGAGGTTGTATAATTATAAATAAAATATGTAAATATTATAAACGATTAGAAATATATATAATAATTTCATTTTAAAAAGAATGGCCAGCCAATGGGTTGACTTGTAGAAACACAAGGTTATAAAATTATAAATAAAATATGATAATATAATAAATAACAATCGATTATGAATCGGCCGCCGAAAGTTGCATATTATGTGAGAAATCGTAATAGGTATAAACGTCTTAACAGAGTTCTACAGTATATAGATTCATATTCAGTGCTGGATTTATAGTAGGGGCATTCGAGGTTAGTACCCAGGGCGGCAAATTTTCAGGGGCGGTAAAATTTGAAAATTAAGAAAAAAAAATTCTATAAATAGAAGAAATATGCAATGCGTGATAAATTTTCTGCAATAAAATAGATATTTTAATTTTAGAAAAATGAGATTCAAAAAATGGTGCGGCATTTTCGTCAGTGCCCCAGGGCGCCAAATTTCTAAATCCGGCCCGGTACATATTATGCCGAGAGTAGTTATATAACTAACAAAAATCATTTGTGATAAGAACTATTACCATTGAAGAACAACACCAGTTATTATTTTGACCATTATTATTCTCGAGCTACATTATATTTTTTTTTTTATTATAATGCTAATTACTTAACTTTTACAATTAATTACAAAACAAAAAAAATATAATTTATTAAATCTTTAGTATTGAATCCTTATTTTCGGTAATACTCTTTTTTTTCAATAAACAAATGTATATAAAATGACGTCATTGAACTTTTCATATTTTGTCTTTTTTTTAATGAATCAAAGAACAGATTTTTACTTTAAAGTAATATAAGAACAGTATTTAACGTTTAAAATATAATGAAAAATATAATAATTGTTGAATACATCTAAATCTGCCCCCAATTTTCATAATAGTAGAACAATTTACCTGGATGCAAAATGGCAACGCCGAGCATCTACAGAGGACTACTTTTTTCTAAATATACAACGATATGCACTCCAAAAACAAATAATATACAAACATGTATACTACACTTCAACTGTTAATTAATAAACCTAATTTTCAATTAATAAGTCAAACTTTCAATAAATAAATCTAATACAAAATTTTAAAAAACCAATTCAATTAAAAATATGAAAAGAAAATTTACATTGATACGTTAATATGAAAAACAAAAGAATATATTAAGGCATATAGATATGAGGTATGAGTAGTTATGTTTTGAGAACAATAATTAACATGAGGTAAGACCATATTACATTATCATCTTGTCTAGGCGTAAGACAAATTTTAACCCTTTCGCTGCCACTTGACTAGCTGTTCATACGAGCGTCGTCTATAGACGACATGCCGTGTGTTGGCTTTTGACTTCAGATTTATCAGTATGAGAGTTATACTATTGAGAATTCTAGTTTTTTATTGTAATTTTTGGTTATTAGAAGCGTTAATTTTTATTGACAACTATAGATTATTCATTCTATTTATTATAGAAAAATCTTTGTAGCCCTACTAAGCAACACGCGGTTCCGTACAGCAGCGTCATTTGTGCCGAAAACACTGTAGTAGCGAAAGAGTTAAATAAAAATTATATAAAGTACAATTAGTGCAGTCTTAGTAACCATTATAACTAAATTGAAATTATTTTCACCTTATTTGAGTTCAGAATTTTCATTTACAACGTGCACAAACCACTTTATGAAACAAAAAATAAATCCAATAACAAACGCACATCCACAGCCAACGATAAATGTTCATAAACGACAAAACTATTTAAATAAATAATATTCGAATAATCATTAACAATCAACAAACGAATAACATTTCAATCGAAATAATCACGACGATTATAAAAACCCCGTTTTATCGGCGCAAAAAATCTAAATCACAGCTTTGCAAACCGAAACAATGCGTTATAAAAAACAAATTCTGAATAACAATTTAATAATAATAAACTTTACTATAATTAATTCTAATGAAAAATAAACGTATAAATATTTATTGCGTTCCGTACAACCACCGATCGCTGATTGCACTGGAATGACGACCTGAACAAAACGACCCGACAAATATCACAAAAATGTTACATAAGCAGACAATGACAAATGTCATGTGTCATTGGAAAGAGATAGAATAAAAAAATATACGAATTAATATGTATTTATAAATGATAAAACTAGGTGTAGATGGCGTTTTGCCAAGAGGGTATTCTGATCTAGAAAACGCGAAGATGGCGTTTGCCTTAGGGCGTTTTGCCTTAAGAGGGCAAATTCGCATTCTGATCTAGAAAACACGATTTTTGGGATATTTCAAAGTTTAAATTTTAAGAATATGTGTATGAGAGGATTTTTCGAATTTTAAATTATTTTTGGTTATACAGGTGTTTGACGATGATAAAACTTCGTCTGTTTGTCACGAAACTGTCTTTTTCGTTATGATACCCACGATTTCTCAACTTTACTGAACCGATTTTTTTGAAATTTTTACTAAGTTTTCTTTATATACTTCAGCATGAACTAAGATTATATCCTATTTTACAAAAAAAATGAAAAATAAAAAAAAGTGTAATTTTCAGGCAGTAGCTATTTTGTAAAAAAAAATTAACTTGCCCGTAGTTCTGCGATTTATTATAGTAGATTAATAACAAATAAAAAATATTTTTTTCGGATTATTTTTTTAATTACAATATTTATTACAACTGTTAAATAATTTAACATCTAGTAATAATAATGAACAATAAAAAAAGTACAAAATGAAGGATAGTATTTACATTAAAATGATACGGATTATTTGGAGGACTAAAATCATAGGTATGGTCAGGTGTCAATTTAAATTCTCAAAACATTAATTGATAACTCCTAAAAAAATATAGTGAAAATTCCTTATCTATGGTAAAAATATAGTTTTCCTTCTTTTAGGCCTTTCAAAATCGCATATATTTTTCACCCCTAGACGAGAATACCCCTTAATTAAAGTAGATGATAAAATTTTTGCTAACTTTAAAGTTGCTAGCAACATTATATTAAAGAATGTACATCATAACATCTTATATTTTAATAAATACATAGTTCTAATTCTTGTTCCAATGAAAAACTAGTGGTTCATGATCATGAAATCGTACTTCGATCGCGATACTTTAACTGCGTTGAAATGAAATATCAAAGCGCGTGGGCGCCGCTTTGCAGGATGACGGATAAATAAACAATGGTACGGACCCCAGAGAAGTGTCAAACAAAATTTGTTCTTATCATTAAATTAATATCTATAAAACATGTGATAATCTTATGTGCTTATGTCTAATGATCATTTTTGTCACCAAATGGCATTTATATTACTATTTATTTATTGACCTCCGAAAACGCTAAAACCTGCCTTAACAAACATTTCACCAAAACCATTCAAATCAAACGATCGGTTCCCTCAAAAATTGAATTACCTTTTGGCACTTTTTGCCCCGTATGTTTGCAGCAGCTGAACCTGCCTTTGCCAAAAACTAATCAGCACATCTCCTTATCAATAGATGTTTTTGAATCATTCGAATTGGTGATCCCATGTTCTTGAAATCGTCGACAAAAAAATTGTATTCGCACATACACCCACCATTCATTTTTTCTAAGGTATGCCAAAATGTTCAGAAATCTTTGAAACGTAAAGATATGAAAAAAATTCATTTTGCGATTTTTGCGATACTATGACGTTAATAATGAATTAAGGATGGATATCCTTCCTTAATTATTACTCTTATTAACTCCCCTTTATATAAAGCATTTCTGTTTTATAAAACTTATGCTGTAGAATTCTATACTTGATATTTTTTAAGTGTTTTTTTTTTCAATTTAAAATTAAAATTATTTAAAAAAAAATAGATGCTATTATTTTACTTTCATAGTATGATAATTTAAAAATTATTCTATGACGCAACCGAAAACTAATTGTTTCCGAAAAATATTTCTGTTATATTTATTTAAATATTATTATTTTTTACGCCCCCAAATACCATTGGCTAATTATCATAAAAATGTTCATAAACTAAATATCACTATACAGCGCTAAATATTTTAGATTGTAATTTTTAGAATTACTATGCGTTATCACTGATAAAAATAAATTGCGACATA